CCACAACAGCAAGGTATTGGTATAAAAACAGGCACACACACCAATGGAACAGAATAGAGAACCCTATTCTGTTCACGCGTTTACAGCCAACTGATTTTCGACAAAGGCACCAAGAACATTGGGGAAAGCACACCCTCTTCAATAAACGATGCTGAAAAAACTGGATGTCTATATGCAGAAGAATGAAGTCAGATTCCTATCTCTTACCACATATAAAAATCAACTCAAAATGAATTAATGACTTAAACATAAGACCTGAAACTATAAAACTCTGTTATGACAGCCCTAGCAAACTAATACCTTATTCCAGTAAATAAGGCTGGAAAGGAAGAATGGAGTTTCAATTTCCTCACCAACATTTTGATTTTAAATTCAACTATAACTGACATGTCATATTTATTCCTATATTCCCCCATTGATCATATTATCTTGCAAACTAGGCAGTTAATATATATTTATAGAATGAATAAAATGCACATGCTTCAAGTTAATTATTCTGTCCAAATGCATGCTTAACAAGACTTATTCTAGGCTGGGTGCGGTGGGTCATACCTGTAATCCCAACACTTTGGGGGGCTGAAGTCAGACGATCACTTGAGGCCAAAAACCAAGACCAGCCTAGGCAACACAGCAAAAGCCCTCCTCTACAAAAAATAATTTTTTAAAAATTAGGCAGGCGTGGTGACATACACCTGTGGTCCCAGCTACTCGGGAGGCTGAGGCAGGAGAATTGCTTGAGCCCACAAGTTTGAGGCTAGAGTGAGCTAAGATCATGCCACTGCACTCTAGCCTGGGCAACAAAGTCAGACTGTCTCAACCCCCACCACCTAAAAAATAGATGAACAAAAAAAACCCAAGACTTATTTGATTTATACAACAACAAATATATGTATGTTGAGACAGGGTCTCATTGTGTTGCCCAGGCTGAAGTGCAGGGGTATGACTTGGCTCACTGCAGCGTCTGCCTCCTGGGCTCAAGAGATCCTTCCACCTCACCCTCCCCAGTAGCTGGGACCACAGGCACATGCCACTACGCCCGGTTAAGTTTTGTATTTTTTGTAGAGATGAGGTTTCGCCATGTTGCCTAGGCACTCAAGCGATCCACCTGCCTCGGCCTCACAAAGTGCTGGGATTACAGGTGTGAGCTACCATGCTCAGGTAACAACATATATTTTTTAAATGATTCTAAACGGCACTCTAAAATTAGGGGAAAAAATTGATACTTTTTTCTTTCCCTTTACCAATCAACTTTAATTGCCCTGGTTAATAAATCATGAAGAAAATTCAGAATAAATTATAAAAAGAAAACAAAATTTCAAAATAAATCATCTGTACTTCTGATAGTGACAAACTCAGGACTTGATTCTGGAAGGAGTCTGTATTTTTCACAAGCTGTTCTCACAACCTGGAATGCTTTTTCTGCTCATGTTCCTTCTTCTCCCAAGATCCAGCTTCAATCTTTAACTCCTCTTGATGCTTCTTTCCCAATTTACTCCAAATTTGGCGATCTTTCCTTTCCTATATTGCTATTTCCTAAAACTTAGCAGTTGGATATATATTACATTTCATCAATTCTAAGATATATCCTTTTTTTCACATTTTAATATCACTGACATTAGGACGCATCACAATCAACATATTGTTATTGCTCCCTGCACATGCATATCAGAAGCACCAGTACCGAAACTGGCAGAAAGGGTGGTCAGTAATGTGAAGGAAAATTCCAGATATTAGAACAGCTCTACATAAGTGCAAAGGTGTCTTAAGAATCCAGCAACTAAGATTTTTGGTTCTTTTATGTATTAAGAAATGCTGCATCATCAAAGTTCTTAATGGCAAAATGAATGACACTGAATAGAAAAGCATCAATATCAGTGGCTGAATCAAGAAATTATTAGAAAGAGTTGGATTGTGAACGTGAAGTATTAGGAAAATCTTAACCAATTTATTTTACTACATTTTTTATGTATGAAGATGAAATATGACAAAAAAATTTATGTCCAATTAGGAGAGTTGTTTCAATATGTATAAAATTCAAATTCTAAGGGAAAAGCACTGTGTCAAAGATTTTTCTATCTTAGTAATACATAAAATAATGGTATATTTCACAATCAAAGGCATTTCCAATTCATTGAAATAGAATACTTTTTTTTCTAGTCATTCCTGAGAATAAATAAGTCTCATTAGTTCCACAAGACTGTACACTGCTTACTGTTATCATTCTCTTTTACCCCCAACATCACTAAGATCAGCGCTGGGCACAGAATATTTGTTCAATATCTGTTGACTGGCTGAGACCTGTCAGGTAGAGACAAAGGCTTAATGTCATGGGAAGAACAAAGGGCTAGAAACCAGGAGGCACAGATTCTAATGCCAACTCGGGCATTAACTTACTTTAGCTACAACCCTTCTGGGTCTTAGTTACCTCGTCTGTAAAATAAGAAGGGGCCAGCCTAGTTTGTAGGCTAGACTGCTGAATCCATGTTTAAGGCGTTGACAGTCTTGTGGAACTAACGAGACTTATTTTCAGAAATCATTTTAAACACTAACATTCCACTTTTTAAAAATGACTTGTGCAGTTCTATCTCTAAGACAGGATAAAGCTCTAGTTCTGAGTCCTTATATGTCAAGGACTGTAATATAAATTCTGGCTCATCTTGGAAGATAGGAATAAGAACATTTTTGTGGGTACTTTTAATTAAACACAATTAAACATAATAAACCACTTTACAGTTACAGGTATAACAAATTTAAATGAGAGGCACTAGGGGTTACAGGAACAAGGACAACAATATTTGGGCACAAGTTGGTGGTGTAAAATTACTACAGTTGCTTCAAAAATCTATTTACACATTAACCCATATAATCAATTCTCAATTATGTAGGTGAGGTTATTCAAGTCCTTCATTTCTGTTTTTCTCTTCCACTTAACTGCTTGTTAACTCACTTTCTATTGAAGAAAATCAATTTAAAATTTTATGATTTACTATAAACCCTAACAAATTAAAAAATGCCCTAACCATACTCCACATGCCATCTCTCATGGAATTCACTGACACAAGCACTGTCAAGGACAGAGCAAGGTATACTAGGAATCTCTGAATCTTCAGACAAGAATCCTTAAATAAAAGTTTCCTTGTACTGACAATATAGGCCAAGAACTGTTGACCTTTCTCCAGTTTTGAAAGAGGATCAGAAATTAAAATGCTGCTGGCTTCTATGCTGATTCTGAGGAAAAAATGTTATGCAACAAATATAACAGCTCAGAAGGGGGATTTTTAATTTTAGGAGTCACCTGGTTACAAAAACAAAACAAACTATGAGCGATGGAATCTACTTAATGTTCCCTCTTTCTGTTTGGACCAGAGATCTAGTCATCATTCACTAATGGATTGAACAATAAAAACAGAGTACATAATTCACTTAGATTCTTCACTGGATGTCCCAACTGACTGCATTAGAATATACAGCATCTGGAAAGTGAGTCTATAAATCCCCACTTAGGCAGTCAATAACATGTCAATTCAGACATTTTAATAAAAATATGAATTATAAATCTGTTAAAATGAGCTGCAACTATTAAAAGACACTGTGAAAAAAATTAGAACTAGACAGGTGAGGGGGTACATGGGAACTCTGTACTCTGTTCAATTTTTTAAATAAATCTAAAACTACTCGAAAATAAAGTCTATACATTTTTAAAAAATAGAATAGAAAACAGAAATTAGAAACATAGAACAGCATAGTAAAAGTGGGAACTATAATCTCTTGTTTAATTCTATAGCCTCACCAACATGAAACTGCATCAACCAGTCCAGCATCGGGGGATCGAATCTCCTTTTGTCCTTTTTCCCCCATCCTATCCCTCTAATCTCCTTTTGAAGTCATATTCTGTGTCACTTATCAGGCAATGAAATACAGTTTTAGTACCTCTGTTATAAGGTTGTTTTATATTAATTACCCTGCAGATTGCTGTGTAACTAGTCACATAGTTACACATTGTCTCTCCAAATAAAACATGAACAACTTCAGAGCAAAATATGGCATGCAGCACAGTGCCTTTAACATAGCAGTGATAACAACATATCTCTAGCTATTTGGGATTTATAGTTTGTCAAACTCTAAGTGTTCAATATTTGCTATTTAACTGAAAGGTGATGGGCTACCAAGTATTTATGAGGCATCGAGGGGTTGGGATATGAAGGGCTTTCCTCTCTTTGTATGGTTATATAATTTGCTTTTAGTGACTGGATTGTAAGTTTTTCCTTTCAGTTTTGGGTTCTGCACTTAACATGGACACCATTTTTGCAAAATACTATAGGGAGATAGAGAGAGTATAACAATGTAAGTTAGCACACACAGAGAAGTAAGACGGGTGGGATAGGATAGTATTCCTTTTACTCTTCTCTTTCCCATTATGGTCTACATACTATTATAGAATATGGTTGTATAATATTAGTGGCTTTCTATAACTAAAAGAAGGCCTCAAATTCTTACAAAGTTTAGGAGATACCTACTTAAATATTTACCCCATCTAAAAATTCAAATCAGTGCCACAAATGACAACGACAGTGACAGATGCTGGTATCTATCAACACCAATGTTACGTTCTTGGTATCCCATTAATCCTTCTACCAATAGATTTGCTGATCAGTACAGATGGCAGTAGGGGCTATGAAAGTTTTTTCTAGTGAACAATAACTCCTGTGTTCTTCTACCAAGAATTCAGAAGGCTAAAAAAAGTCATGCCAATATCGCGTCCTTCATCAATTACCACCTTAAGTTTCTGGGCATTCCATACTATGGCTTTAGGAGACTAAGTGTGATTTTTGGAGACTCATCAAGAGTTGCAGTTCTGGGAGCTCAATAATGACCTACTTATACTCTAACCCCCTAAGGCAGTTTTGGAGGTTCAAATGTCACAGGAAATTGCTTCACAAGCCAATGGCTGTCACACCTTGCTCTACAGCATACCTGACCATTAGAAGTATTAGACATACCTCCATATGTCTAGCTGTTATCATATCAAGAAACAGGCCAGCTGGGATGATAGCCAAAAACCTTTGGTTGGAAAGGTTTCAAGGTAGGCAGGCACTCACTCTGGTTTAGCACTCAATAAAGTATGTTTGGAGCAATAAAAATAATAAACCAGAAGTCATCAAAGGGTTATTAATGTTGCTGGATTTATGACATCTTTTAATAACATTATCACTATTACATTTTCTAAAACTCAAAGCAGAAGAGCCCCTAGTTTTGCAGTTGGATCTGCTACTTGCATCCTCAATTTCCTTCCTTCCTGCTCTTATTTATGCTCATTCCTCAACACAGACTCTACTCTCTTCCAAGTACCTCCAAACATAAGCCAAACACAACAACCAGACACTGTCCAACTTCAGCTTAAAATACTGTATTATCTGTTTTCCTCCCAATCCCAGCTTTAGGTCATCCCAATGTCCTTTTTAACTATATTACTATGCTCCTCAAAATACTGAGTTGTTGCCTAAATTATTTTACACCTACTCTAAACACTGCAAAGACCTGAAAAACTGAGTTGTACACCTGAACTCCCCCTCTTCCAATACACAAGCCATATCCATAAGCTACCCCACCGAATCCAAGTTCCAGCCCCTGATGTTTTGAAAGCCCCTGGAAGCCACCCTAAAAAGACAGAGTCCCCAACTCTGCCCTATCAACTCCATCCATTGGATAAATATTTACTGAGTACTACACCATGTGTAAAAGGCCATGAGAGCCATGCTCTTCTTTTGGAAGAAGCTGTTCATCTCTCCTCCATGTTCATGTGCTCTCTATTCCTCATGCAGTCCTTTCACTAATTCTTGCAAACACTGTTTCTTTTCTCAGTCTAAAGCCTTCTCTCAATGCTTTAATTCTTAGTAACATCTCCATATTCACCTAGCTTCCCACCTTATTATTATTTCTTAACCTGATTTGGATCTCAAACCTCTACTGAACAGTATGTTTCTAATTATGGGCTGACAGTCATTTGTAGTTCCCCACTCACATTCTCATATAGATTTAAGTGTATTACCTTTGAGCAGTAGTTCTCAAGCTTTATGTGCATCAGAATCACCTGAAAAAGTTGTAAATAGTTTGCTGGGCTAAATAAATTGCATTTCTGACAAGTTCCCAGATGACACTCATGCTGCTGATCTAGGGACCATACTTTGGAAATCACTGCCTTTGAGAATCTGATGAAAGCTATGAAAAAACGCACATACGTACATATAATTTTGCATGTAATTTCAAGGGGCTCATGGACGCTCACTCATAGATATTCTCTGCTCTATATTTTGTTCTGAGGAATGTTTAAGATACAGTGTTTCCTGACCTGACTGTAGGATGTGCTCATTTGTGGTACAGGGAAATTCTTTCTCTGCAAACACCTCCCATGAACGAGGTGGGATGCTTGGTATTGGAAAGTCAGTTCTGTCCAATGAGCTGCCCTCTTCAGTATCATGTGGCTCGTTTACAGGCATGTGATAATTTTTCTATACTTCTAGCTTAATTCTCAGAAACAAAAGACTCATCACTTAGTAATTCAAAAGGGTCTTTGGAATGCCTCAAAAGAAACCCTTTAGGTGAGGAAATGGTATCGTAGAAAGAACATAAACATTGGATTAAGAGAGAACTAGACTGAAATCTTGATTCCGCCTTTCCTAAAGGTGTGACCACCAAGCTTCAACTTCCTCATTTATAAAACTGGTGCTCTTATAGGAAAAGAATTTTTTCCCTTCCAGGCAAAGGTTATGTGAACCAACTACAGGGAATGAAAGAGGGAGTCGTTCTACTAGTTAAAACCAGTGATTCTTATTTATGGTAAGGAATTTAAATGTTGGATACAGAGTAAACATTTAAATTAAGAAAACAAAAAGACTGAACTAATTTCTAAGATGCCTCAAATCTAACATTTATTTATGAATTCTAATTGGCCAGCATATCATTATTCACTTACATTTTCTATTTATGCTAAATAGCTAATTCATTCTTCAATTTAACCCAGTATAAACTCCTTAAAAAACAATGATACTTTCTTGTATTTTACCTTTCCTTTCTCTACTTCCTTCCCTCTACAGTGTCTAACATTCCAACATCCACAAGAAAATAAAATATAAATAACAATAGTAATAAATTATTCTCCTTCCCTTAAATAGGCCCATGTAAAAGATACCTTGTTAAAACAGAAAAACCTTTTTGAAGAAGTTTTCCTTTGTATTTCCTCAACAGATAGCCAAAATCCATTAAATTCATCTTTATTCAATAAGATCTCCCAGGGCTTGGCTATTATAAATATAGCTCAATGCTGTATATTTTATTTTTTAAAGATCTATCAGATATTCTCTTCTCAATCTACAAGTCTATTAGTTTATTGCAGGAACTCTCAAATATCAGTGAATGTGCATCAATGTCTATCAATATTACCACTGAAATCCTAATTTATAAACTGTCTAAGCATCAAGCAATTTCAATTAAACATACCTCTTGTAGAAGACGTGGATCCAGGCAGTCACCATCATCGTTAAACATAGATTCCCAGCTCTCCTCAGTGGCAGTAATTCCCTCTGTGTGAGAAGTTTCATTTGCTTTTGGTTCAATGGATGTTTCCACAGATAATGATTCCCTATCAGGAAAAGATACACCAAATTCTACATTCTCTGAGACATCTTGCTCTTTTGTTTTGAACTCTTTGGCAGTTCTTAGTTCGTGCGATGCTTCTGTTGTATCACCAGCACTACCCAGATCAATGCCCACGGCACTGTCTGAAAGTACTTTTGTCCCATTTAACATACGGAGTTCAGAGTCCAAAAAAGTGTTATAATTACTACCAGCAATCTTTTTTATAGGTAAGGAGGAAGCACAATCTGACAAGCTCTCTATCAACTTTCCTGTTGACTCTGTAAAACAAGATGAAATACTCTCAGCATAAATACCTGAGCAAGCAGTCAGGTTGCTGAAATTTTCAGTGTCATTCCCACTTCCAGCTACATGAAGAGGGATTGCATCTGCACTCATTCCTATAAACTTTGAGAAACTTCGTGTATTATTAGAGATCTCATCAGCTATTCTAACTGCAACTACATAAGAGCTATCAACAGTTACATGATCACTACAGGACGTAACTGTGGTGTCCATCATACATGCTTTATTGGTAATGTCACCTACATTCTTAAATTCATTACCTCTATGTGTTTCATGAGCAAAGACAGTTGTATCAGGAGGTTCGTGTTTTACATGTAACTCATCAGCAGTAATGTCATTCTTCTCACATTCTCTAATCATCACTGGACTAACAGTGTCATTTGTGCTCTCTGACAGAGAGATGTGACCCATAGTTTCAGGAATGGAATCTGTATCTTTTTGATCTAAGATGAAACCTGTACTATTGGCTATACCACCTACATTCTCAGCTTCAAAATCTATGCAAGTTTGATCAAAGACACCATCTGGACTTCCAGGAACAGAAGTAGTGGTGATGCCTCCGCTGCTGGGCTTCAATATTCCATCTGATGTTTGCATGCTTTGTTGCACAATTTCAGAATCAGAGCTTAGTTTTATTGGTACAATCATATTCTCAGGTTTCATGACAGAACTAAAAACTCTAGGAAACTCATATAGTATCTCCAAAACCTTGGTATTAGTTTCAATTCTGCCTTCCAAATCTTTGTGTTCAAATGTTTCCCCATCAGGTTCATGCCTACTGAAGTCACAGAATTCCAGATTTTGGAATGGTTTGCTTGGAACCTGAGCCTCACTGATTTCTGAGCAGGCCTGTGACAGAAGTATCCTCTCATGTCCTGTCACATCTGTAGTTTCAACTTCCAAACACTCCACTTTCTTTGGTTTACAATGTCTCTGTAAAGGTGCATTAGTTATAACCCCAGCATTTGGGGCTCCCTGCTGATGTCCTTGTGATAATACTTCTTTGGATTCAGTGGTTCCTCTCTTAGAACAAACTCTATTTGTTTTTTGAAGGCATGTGTCCTTTCTTAATTTTGTTGAAGATTTTTTTCCTTCTCTACAGTTATGCTCCTTTCTATCAGGATTGATACCTAGTCTTCGAGCCTCTGGTTTGTCTCTAAAGACTTCTTTTTGGGAGAGAGAGCTTTCTTTTTGCTTTTCTTTCACCACAGAGTTAGGTGAACCACAGCTTTCTTCTTCATCACCTGTCCTAAGGAGTACTGCACCCCTTCGAGCTTTAGGTACATAAAGTGCCATGTCAGGCCTTCTGGCTCGAACTCTGCATCTCTCTGCTTCTTGCTGCATGGCATCAACACAATCTGCAAGAGAAGAATGATTTAATTATCAGACACTAATTACAATGTATTGAACCAAAGATTTTCTTTTTTCTTTTTGAGACAGAGTCTCACTCTGTCACCCAGGCTAGAGTGCAATGAAGAGATCTCAGCTCACTATAACCTCTGCCCTCCCAGGCTCAAGTGATCCTTCTACCTCTGCCTCCCGAGTAGCTGGGACCACAGACACATGCCACCGTGCCTGGCTTTGTGGTTCTGTTTGTTTGTTTTTGTATTTCTGGTAGAGATGGGGTTTCGCCATGTTGCCTAGACTGGTCTCAAGCCCAGGCTGAGCTCAAGGCAATCCACCCACCTCAGTCTCCCAAAGTGCTGGGAGTACAGGCATGAACCACTGTGCCCAGTCTTTTTTTTTTCCTTTAATTTTTTGTTTTTGTTCAACATAAATATATATGCACATAAAGTGATTTTTGAGAGTAACTTGAATGTTGGCTAGAAAATGAAATGACTTATCAGAGAATGCTTTCTAGAAGATGTTGCTTTTGATATTTTTTAGAAAAGAGAAAAGTATTATTCTATTAATACCATTTAGTCAAGTGACTTGCCATGAATTTCCCTTGCTTCCAGCAGTAATAAAACAGATCTGGCTAGGATGAAGGAGGGTAGAAGACGGAGGAAACTGTGATGAGACAATTCACTCTAGTAACTTCCTGACAACCTCCACCATGGTAGCTCAATGGAATTTAACAAGAAGAAATATAACAAAAGTTAAACCTTTATCTACTATCTACTAAATACAACAAAATGTGCTAGGGAATTTCATATTGAATTATTCTTTTAATTTTCAAAATAATGCTATGAAGTAGGGATAAGTTTGTCCAGGACAGAGTAAGGAGGTGCAATACACAACAGAGAAACACTCACATACATGCAGATGCACCCACTGTTAACATTTCACAACATACATTTCAAAAGGAGATAATGAGAAGGTAGAGAGGAAAAAAGGCTAACACATCCTGTCCACTCTATTCCAGACCCCTAAAATTTCACCTGGTCCAGAATACTTCCTTGGTGAAAAAGCTCTATTCTCATGGCACAGGTTATTTTCCTTTCAGCCCAAGTAATACCGTGGCCCTGATCATTAAGTATCTCCAGTGATTATCTTGTTCTTTCTCTCTTTTGATATCTTAGTTAATATCTAGCCCAACATTCTTCATGTATTTTATATATTCCATTTGAGGAAGAATATGACCTTAACATTTAGCCATGCCAGGATTTTTCAAAAAACGCCTAATTACTGATTTTTCAAAAAATGCCACACTAAGTACTGAAGTGTGTTTCATAGGAAGGGATACCAGAGACATAGCACATCTGGATTACAGTAAATAAAACAACTGACAAAATATATCATAATGAACTTCTGGATATAAAATGATGAAATGGGGATTACTTAGCAAAACTGATAAGTGGACCCACAAAAGATTAAACAACAAAAAATAATGGGTAGAAATGAATTTAGAGATTAAAGGATTATATAGCCCTTTGAAATTCAACATTTTATACAATAATTTAGATGTAAACAATAAACAGTGCTTACCAAATCTGCAACTGACATAAAAATGACAGAATACCAAAAATTAAAAAATTAAAATTCAGTATCATTTCTATAATCTGAAATGCTGTACTGAAAGCAATATGAAGGTATAAAACAGTAAACGCAAGGATTTCTTTTGGAGTTGTTTTTTTTTTTTTTTTAAAGAATCAAACAGAAGACAGAAGACGTGACTTCTGTACAATTTGCATAAAGAAAGACCTAAAGGCTTTTATTTTGTTCACAAGGTCAATAAAAGCCCCAAAATAGTGACGTGATGTTTTAAAAAGGCAACACACTCTTAGATTACAGAGTTTAGAAAATATGTCACACAGTGTAGAGCTAAAAGAACTAAAGGTATAACTCTTGCCCAAAGAGCCCAAAAAACCACAGCTAACTTTATACCTGAAAGATTGGCCGCTCTATAAAAGACACAAAATTTCTTGTTTATGTTTCTATGTTTCTCCAGAAGTCAGTACCAGAACCAAATGTTAGAAATAAAAGGAAAACAAAATTTAGTTCAATGTAGGAAAGAATTCTACTTCTAGATTTCTCCAATGTTATTATCAGAAAATGAGCTTTATCTCTAGCAGAATTTAGATAAAGGCTGGATGACTGACATATACTAGAGAAACTCTAAATTCTATGATTCTATTTCTAATCTGCAATAGACCTATCAAAAGCCTCAAATTATCTACTTTAAAATTATTATGTGCCACAGTTAATGACTTTACAAATTCAACCTTTTTTTCTTAAATAATGCTCACATACAGTCATACTACTACTTCCTGTAGCTGAAAATCAGTATAATAAATTTGTATTACTATCTATTTTCTACAAAAGCAATGATTTCAACTGTGCCATGACTAGCAGTGTGCTGGCAAATATTCAGCAATCAGCTTCCCAAGTGGCCTTCGTAGTATTACTTGATGTTTTTCTTTATGTCATTGATGTCAATGATATGAGTGACTTCTTAGCTGAAGTAATCATTTTTTAATAATGGAAGAACATATACTTTTTTTTAGTTACAATATAATAGCTAAAGGCATGATACATTTTTATTAGCAGCATTCTCTCTCTCACTTTAAGTACAATCAAGAAATAATAAATAAAGTCCTATTTATGGCATTTGACAATCTCTGTAGTGTAAATATTCTTGCCATAGCTAATTTCTAGTTATCACTATGACATTACCAAACACAGAGTTGGGGGGAAAAATGTACAAAGGCACACCATTATAAGTATTTCAACCAGAGATAGGATATACTTACATAAATAACTTCAAAAGCATAGATCATTATAAAATGTAGTAAATAATTAGGAAGTGAGTAGTTTGGAGTATTTATTAGCTTTTAAAAATGTAATTTTAACAGTAAGCCTATGTTCTTTAGTTTTTAATAATAGCTGTGTTTAACAATCAGTTTGAAGAATTCCTAAAATTTTAACCATCAGTTCTCAGGCCAGTAGGAGACACTCCAATCCACCACTATGCCCATTCTTTCGTAACTCACAGACACAAAAAAGGAGAAGCATCCCCATTCTTGTGGACTGTCAAGATACAGTAGTCCCCACTCTTACCTGCGCAGGGGATATGTACCAAGATCCCCAA